GGACCTCTTCCCGCCGTCGGGACATCTATAGGGTTGCTGACCCCTATGGATTTTCCCATGGTGGAGATGGGTCGACCAGATCCAAAACCTTTTCCTGCATTGGTCGCGGTTTTTCTCCCTTATGGATTCTACGATGTTTAACCAATGTCAACCCATGACCAAAACCCTTCCTGCATTTGGGGCATCTATAGGGTTCCTCACCCGTATGGATCCGCTGATGAGCCGCTAACGGGGGTCCCTGGCATGGATCCGGTGCCAACGGATGAGATCCGAGCTCCAACAAAATCGTTTCCCACACCGGGCGCAGCTATAGGGGTGTTCACCCTATGGATCCGTTGATGGGCCACCACATTGGAGCATTGGCTGGAACTCTTCCCGCCATCGGGACATCTATAGGGTCGCTGACCCCTATGGATTTTCCCATGGCGGAGATGGGTCGACCGGATCCGAAACCTTTTCCCAGGTTTTTCTCCCCTATGGATTCTACGATGTTTAACCAATGTCAACCCATGACCAAAACCCTTCCTGCATTTGGGGCATCTATAGGGTTCCTCACCCGTATGGATCCGCTGATGAGCCGCTAACGGGGGTCCCTGGCATGGATCCGGTGCCAACGGATGAGATCCGAGCTCCAACAAAATCGTTTCCCACACCGGGCGCAGCTATAGGGGTGTTCACCCTATGGATCCGTTGATGGGCCACCACATTGGAGCATTGGCTGGAACTCTTCCCGCCATCGGGACATCTATAGGGTCGCTGACCCCTATGGATTTTCCCATGGCGGAGATGGGTCGACCGGATCCGAAACCTTTTCCCAGGTTTTTCTCCCCTATGGATTCTACGATGTTTAACCAATGTCAACCCATGACCAAAACCCTTCCTGCATTTGGGGCATCTATAGGGTTCCTCACCCGTATGGATCCGCTGATGAGCCGCTAACGGGGGTCCCTGGCATGGATCCGGTGCCAACGGATGAGATCCGAGCTCCAACAAAATCGTTTCCCACACCGGGCGCAGCTATAGGGGTGTTCACCCTATGGATCCGTTGATGGGCCACCACATTGGAGCATTGGCTGGAACTCTTCCCGCCATCGGGACATCTATAGGGTCGCTGACCCCTATGGATTTTCCCATGGCGGAGATGGGTCGACCGGATCCGAAACCTTTTCCCAGGTTTTTCTCCCCTATGGATTCTACGATGTTTAACCAATGTCAACCCATGACCAAAACCCTTCCTGCATTTGGGGCATCTATAGGGTTCCTCACCCGTATGGATCCGCTGATGAGCCGCTAACGGGGGTCCCTGGCATGGATCCGGTGCCAACGGATGAGATCCGAGCTCCAACAAAATCGTTTCCCACACCGGGCGCAGCTATAGGGGTGTTCACCCTATGGATCCGTTGATGGGCCACCACATTGGAGCATTGGCTGGAACTCTTCCCGCCATCGGGACATCTATAGGGTCGCTGACCCCTATGGATTTTCCCATGGCGGAGATGGGTCGACCGGATCCGAAACCTTTTCCCAGGTTTTTCTCCCCTATGGATTCTACGATGTTTAACCAATGTCAACCCATGACCAAAACCCTTCCTGCATTTGGGGCATCTATAGGGTTCCTCACCCGTATGGATCCGCTGATGAGCCGCTAACGGGGGTCCCTGGCATGGATCCGGTGCCAACGGATGAGATCCGAGCTCCAACAAAATCGTTTCCCACACCGGGCGCAGCTATAGGGGTGTTCACCCTATGGATCCGTTGATGGGCCACCACATTGGAGCATTGGCTGGAACTCTTCCCGCCATCGGGACATCTATAGGGTCGCTGACCCCTATGGATTTTCCCATGGCAGAGATGGGTCGACCGGATCCGAAACCTTTTCCCAGGTTTTTCTCCCCTATGGATTCTACGATGTTTAACCAAGGCGGAGCCAGGACCGAAACCCTTCCCACACTCATAGCATCCATAGGGGCGCCCG